GCGTAGCGCCGGGCACACCTTCAATTTACATGCGGAACAACTTACCCCCAGCGGCAGCGGGAAACAACTTAGCCTACATTTTTTTCACTTTACACTTCTAAAAATTTCCTTCGCTGCCTATTCTGTTTCCCCACCCCCGAAAACCCTACAACCACCGTTTTCATAGGACAAAATGCTGGGACTAAGGGTGTATGAGGGAGACTACATAAGCTACTTTTGCCGGCAAAACTGTCTTGTAGGGCCGCCTAAATATATATACCCCCGGCTCACTGTTTTACGGAATTGGTGGCTAAACATTTAATTCTCGGTTAACAAATTTAAATGGATATTTTATTGTGTTGAAAGTGCTCAAAGAATATAGAAATAAGGCCACTTATAATTGTTTTAATGAGTTAAATATAATAAATTCCATTAACCTAAATCCCCTGTTGCTCAGGCAACTGATGCCTACTGATGGAAATTTGACCTTATATTGGTGGAATTAAACGAGAAATGGGAAAGTCGGACCACTGAAAAGGTAAAAGCAGTTTAGTATTATAAGACAAAGGCAAATAAGACCTCTAAAGACAATCCTGCCAAATAATTTCTTTTGACCGACAGATAAAAAAGCGACTGAGTTTTGAAAGTTCACACGAATGCCATCCTCAATTCCTCCGGTTCTGGCTTTGATGATGGATTCAAAGTGAATGAGAATAATTTCCGGCAAACAACACTTTTAATTTAGTGCTCGAGTCTACTTCACCTGAGGTGCCTGAACTCCTGTCAACTTTAATGGTAGTATTGATGAAGAGGAGGCTTTATTTATGGGGAAAAATGACAACAGACGAGATAAGCCATGAAGTACGTTGGGAATTTTTAGTATTAGGGACGATGTGAGGCACTTAAAGCGGCCTTCTTGTATAGCCTTCAGTGACTGAGGGCGAGTTGCGGCGTAAGTTAAACACCGGGCCAGCAAATCTAGGTAGTCAGACAAAAAAAGGCCGGAAACAGCTGACTTGGCAGGTTGACAGTGCAGATTAAAAGTGAAAACTAGTCCAAAACTAGGCCAAACTTGAACACCTGTGGCTTATCTCATTCGGGCAAAAAAAATCTAAGAGGTCGGGAAGGAAACTTAGCAAAGCACAGGGAGCTGTTGTTCAAAGTGCATGGAAGAATCGAGGTTAGTGAGTCAGTCGGTGGAAAGAAACATATAGAAGGTCAAAAAAGCGTACTTGTTTGAGACAAGGACGGGGATCTTGCGACATCCGGGCGATTTCAGAATGCGGAACAGCAGGTTGACGGTCTCATTGAGGACAGTGGGAGGGCACATGTCCACTTTGGTGATGACCACAAAGACCGGCACGGAAAGAGCCAGGGCCAGACCCAGATGCTCCTTTGTCATCCCAACGATGCCCGCGTTGGCACCGACCATGAGCATAACAAAGTCTGGAGCGTGCCCGGTCAGGCCGAAGACGGTAGTCTTCAGGTAACGTTCGTGGCCCGCGAGGTCAATAAAAGTAATAACCTAAAATGCAAATAATAGTAGTTGTTGTTGGGGCAGCGGT